TGGTTACTCTATAGACCCGATACATTCATAATGTTGGACTTTTTCGAATGTACCTGGTCTAGAAAGTGTCCAATGTTTGTAGTGGAGGGAGGCCAAGGGCATCGCTCCACTACTCTCTACATGCACAAAAAACAAAAATCATGACGGTGTATCTTTGCATGTTCTAGAGGAAGATTCATGCATGTTCTAGAGGAAGATTCACTCTGGTTTTGCACACGTCTAGAGTAGTGGAGCGAGGCCCCATATGCATTTCTTTTCTTTTCTTTTTTTAAGCTATATTCTTCTCTCAATTTCACCCTTCACTATCTACCCAGCTCTACTCCTAAGCCTATACAAGGGACCCCTGCAAGCATTGCTAGCATATGCGTTGTTTTCCTCCTCTTCCCTCTTTTTTTTCCTATATGTATTTATATTTATTTGGACCATTTCTCGATTTATGCGTGTCATCGGGCCTCGCTCCACTACTCTCCCGACATGCACAAGGAGGGGTGCCCAGGGAGGGGTTGGGGCTTGGCCCCGGATGGCGCCTCCGCCCCCCCTGGCTCCTGTGTGTCTTCACTACTTCCAGATTCACAGTCACACCACGCACTGCGGGTGTCTTCACTACTTCCAGATTCACAGTCACACCACGGACTGCGGGCCCGCGTCCTCGCGGTATGTCAGTCATTCGTGAGGAGGGTACGTTGAGTTACCACACACCCAAATGATGAATTATCCAGCAGCCAGCTCAATTGGTAAGGCACACATGTGGCATTCAGGAGGTCTTGGGTTCACATCCCATTGGCTTCATGTACCTTCCTGGGCAAGCTTGGCGCCCGCCACCTAGAGATATGTCGGGGGGGTTCCCGAGTGGCATTGCGCAGAGACTGCTGATGTTCATAGGGGTAGAGGACCGGAGGGGAGGCACAGTGACTGGCCCATCGAAGAAGCTCGGTCCTCATGCTACGGGCTGACCCCCAGCTGAACCCTGGCCGGGCGGTATCGCCCACCTGCTGTAGCAGGTATCGCTGATGTTCATAGGGGGAGGGGACCGGAGGAGAGGCACAGTGGCTGGCCCATCGAAGAAGCTCGGTCCTGATGCTACCGGCTGACCCCCGGCTGAACCCTGGCCGGTATCGCCCACCTGCTGTAGCAGGTATTGCACCTGCTGGTGGGTGCAGCTCCCGCATTTTCCCTCGTTGGAGGCTTGGGCACGGATGTGGCTGCTGCGGGGTTCCCCGTAATACTATAATGACAATAAAAACAGGCCTGAAAGGCCGTCCTGTCCAGATTCGACAGGTACTGGAATTGGTTGGGCTGAAAGAATTAGCCTTTAATTGAAAAAAAAAAAAAAAAATGATGAATGTACACAAGCCCTGTTTCTGGTCCCATTCATTCATGATGAGGGGTACATTGAGTTCGGGAGAAGACGGGTAATTGTCTGACGTGGAGGTGGAGATGGCTATGGCCTTGCGTTGCGATATGCCTGCCTGCAAGCTTTGCCACGTGGGTTAAGCATTGACCTATGTGATACCACGTGGATTAAACAAGCGATGCCACGTGGGTTAAGCAAGCGGTGGATGCCACGTGGATTAAGCAAGCGATGCCGCGTCAAGCAACTTGTGTCACGTGGGACGGCCAGTGGCGGTCGTCGTCTCACGGGAGAACACATGGGACGGCCAACGTTGATGCTTGCCTTAGAGATTGGCACGTGGCTTGAAAATGACACGTGGATCATCACTTTGTCGTTCGCATCTTCCCACAAGTCAGCTGAGCTATGGCGATTGCAAATGCGGTTTTCCTTTCCTTATTTATTTATCCATTTGTTTATTTATTTGTTCATATAATTTTTCGTTTATGTCTTTCATATTTTTTGCAGACGGCACCAACACGCGTGTCGAGGACGGGACATCGCCTTCTATGCGACCACGTGCCAATCGAAATTCCGATGGTTCTCTCTCTCTCTCTCTCTCTCTCTCTCTCTCTCTCTCTCTCTCTCTCTCTCTCTCTCTCTCTCTCTCTCTCTCTCTCTCCTGGGTCCTTTCTTTTGGACATGGTGAGGGCAATGGAGATGGCGATGGCAATGGAGATGGAGATGGAGATGGAGATGGCGACGGTGCGGGTGGGGGTTACAGCATCTTGGAAGAAGCCAACAGTTGATTGGGTAAATAGAAACAGAGATGTTGAGGGCGAGGGCGAGGGCAAGGGGGAGGGCGAGGGCAAGGGGGAGGGCGAGGGCGATCGCTTTGCACACAGGAAGAGCCCGGCGACGGCGAAAGACGAAAATAAGCTTGTAACTCACCAGAAGACGATCATGGGGGATGAATCTTTTCTGTTCTTTTGGTCTTTTTTTTTTCGTTTTTTTTTTTTGTTTAAAAAAAAAAAAACGGCGGGTGAACGCTTATGACCTCGCAAATAGCCACCTAGGATCGACTATCGCAGCCCCAAAGCCTGTTTTAATGATGATGATGATGGATGTCGACGATAATTTCTTTTTTTTTCTTACACCCGTCTCTTCCCCCGAACACAACGCACCCTCATCACTTAAATGGCGAGGGGGGGGGCAATGAGCATAAATAAATAAGTCACCTTCCCACTACACCCGTCTCTTCCCCCGAATGCAACGCACCCTCGTCGTGACTGTGTGTAGTAATAGAGTCATGGTAAGGGTGCGTTGCATTCGAGGGAAGATTGGTAACCGCTGACATCAACACTGACCCACTTCATAGCAGGTGATCGCGACCAAGGAGGGTGCTTTCAATTCGAGGTGAAACGGGTACAGCTAAGTCTGGCGATGGAGATGGCCATGGACGACGATGGAGATGGCGATGGTGATGGAGATGGTGATGGAGATGGTGATGGAGATGGCGACGGAGACGAAGAACGATGGAGATGGAGATGGACATGGAGTAGCGATGCAAAGCGAAGAAGAAAGAACATTAGCGATGGAGAGTGAAGAACGACGAGAAGAGAAGAAGAATGAGAAGGAGAAGCAAAAGAGAGAGGAGAAGGTCGAAGATGGACGCAGGAGGAAAAGGACGAAAGGAAGATGAGGAGGAAGGAAAAGGCAGAGGAGGAGGGGGAGGAGGAAGAGGATTACGGTAAGGAGAGGGAGGAGGAGGAGGATGAGGAGGAGGAGGAGGATGAGGAGGAGGAGGAGGAGGAGGAGGAAAGGGAGAGGAGGAGGTGGAAGGGGGAAGAGGAGGAGGAGGAGCAGGAGGAAAAGGGGGAGTAAGGGGGAGGAGGAGGACAACGAGCAGGAGGAGAGTAGGTGCAGGAGGAGACGGAGTAGGAGGGGGGGAAGGAGGAGGAGGATGAAGATAAAGGGAGAGAAGGACAAGGACGAGGAGGAGCAGGAGGAGAAGAAGAAAGAGGCGGACGAGGAGAGCAGGAGGAGAAGGAGAAAGAGGAGATGCGAGAATCGAACGCAGAGAAGAGAGGGAGCAAGACGCATGGGAAAGATCAGAGAGCACATTCCTTCCTTCCTTCCTTCCTTCGTTTACTCACAATGATCCGCCATATCAAATCCGGGTAGACCCGCATCCACATACGAGCTCATCTCCTTCACTGCTTGTGCTTCGTCGATCTGGCCATGTGCTCCTGACAGCTGCCATAGCCCATTCAAGATAGCCGGCAATTTCAATGTCCCGACTTCACGAACTGGCAAAAAAGAAGAAGAAGAAGAAGAAGAAGAAGAAGAAGGAGATAGACGTTGCGGAGCAGCCGCCATAGCCAGAAGCAGCAGTTCGACTCGACGAGACACGTGTCAAAACGGCAGCAGAGAGGAGAACTATAGCGACACCGACTCTCTCCTCACCGCCACCTCTCTTCTCCCACCCGTCACTTTCCACGCTATCTCCTCAATCCGGGGGCAAGGTCCAAATTGCGCAAATTACGAGATTTCGGCCGTTGATCTTTGCTATCTACGGTCACTATCTCTTAATTCGTGCACGTGGGACCTAGCCCCGGAGAATCGGAGAGCCGAACACAAGCAGGAAAAAAAGACAGAAAGCATGAGGGGAAATATAGACGAAAGGAGGGCAGGTGGGGTCTCACGAAGGGTAAGACCCAAAAAAACAAAGCAACCAAAAAACAAAAAAAAAAAAAAAAGAAGAAGAAGAAGAACCACGAGGGCAAAAA